GCAGCAGCTGCCAATTCTGATGCTTTCTTTTGTTCTTCTAATTCTAAAAATATATGCAATTATATTAAAAATATTAAAAATTAGTAGAAAAGCATTTTTCGGATTCGCGTCGATGCTTAATTGGTACCGAATTACATTGGGCGCGGTTAGACTTTCGAAATGGCGATTTCGTTCTAAATTTGTTTGAAACTTGTTAAGATTGAAAGAGATTGGCATAAGAAATTGCAAGTATCGCACAACTAAGATTCTCTAATGAAAAACTATAATTGTAACTTGAATTGCAATTTGCCAATAAATATTATCCAAGTACTCAAAGCAATTTGTGTTCATTGACAATTTTTTTTAAAAAAAAAGCATTCTAAGTCTCGAAGAACTTTTAAGATGGTGTTTCAGACTATAGCCATAAATTTCAATTGCTATAGGAAAGAAAAGCTGTTCACAAACACTGCACAATTTTTTTGTAAAGAAAGCTGACTTATAACAACAGCTACCAAGTAATTAATTAAATTTATAATTAAGTTTTTATAATCAATTCAATGGTTTATATCATTTTAATTAAATAATTAATCATTTTTGTTTTTCAAATGTTCACTGTGACCAATTTTTTTTTTTAAAAACTAGTACATTCACAACCTTGAAATTGACCTTTACATGCTTTGTTAAAAAAAATCTTAATTCAGTTTCCGTCGCATTTTCTATTAATTTTCATTCTTACTTATTTACTTTTCTATCATGACTAATTACCTTGCATACGTTTCCTTCTATTAGCAGCAGCGTGAACCTAAAGGCTGTTCTGTATATCTAACAATTTGATACCACCATCCTTCTTCCAGCATTTCAACCTACAATTTAAATATTAAATAATGAGATCGTTTTCTCAATATTATTTTCAAATTTATTTTAGCTTATTGTCAAATTTATAAATGTTTTGTTTACCATTGGGGGTCTTGAAGCAGAGACTGTTGGTTGGGGGTGATCTGAAACCACCGGTAGGCACACGGCTCGGAATTCCTTTTAATGGAGCTATAAAAGAAAGAACTTTATTACAAATTTTCTTTTATAGATTTTTTATCTATTAACCGCTTCGTTACAGCGTCTACTGTTTACGAAACGTCCATAAGCGGTAAGTGAGGATCGGCTGTGCAGGCCATCCGGGGCCGTCAAATAAACTGCCGCTCGTACCAAAGTCTTTAAACTAACATTGTGGTAAATAATAAGTTTATCTTAACAACAAATAAAACTAGCTGTAAGTGGAATTCTGTCTTAAGGCAATTAGGGCATCGTGCCTTAAGGCAAATTGCTGGAACTTCCCGTACCAAAAATTATTATCTTTTTAAAAACGATACATTTTTGAAAAAATTTTACTTCGAAAAAATAAGATTTTGAGAAACTATAAATTGGACAAAAATAACTTTTTTTTGAAAAAAAAAAAAATAAAAAAAAAAAATTATTTTTTAAAAATTTTTTTAAAAAAAAAATGTTTTCTATATTTTGACATATTTTGGAAGATCTGAACTTTTTTTCAAAGCAATCGTACTGCTTTAAATGCATAGAGACAAAATATAAAGCGCGTAAGCGCCGCGTCGCTGTCTAACGGGTAAACATTGGTACGGAACCCATAGCAATGTAAAAAAATTTTTACTTATTGTTAAATCTCTATAAATTATCTGATAATTTGATGTGCATATGTCTAATGATCATTTTTGACCGCCAAATGGCATTTTTTTACTTTTTCGTTATATCTCCGAAACCGCTAAACCTGCCCTTATAAAAATTTGATCAAATCTTCATCTTGTCAATACAAGTAAAAGTTCTATTAAAAACTGATGTACCGTTTTTGGCACTTTTTGCCCCATATCTTCGGAACGGCTAGACCTACCTAATACGGATCGAATGTTTTTGAAATTATTCAAATTGCTTCATTCGTGTTCCTGAAATCGTCGACAAAAATTTGTATCCGCACACACATACATACTACGCACACACACACACACACACACATACATCCATTTTTCCTAAGGTAAGCCAAAATATTCAGAAACCTCTGAAACGTAAAGATATATAAAAATTTTCATTTTCGATTTTTTTGCAATTACTATAACTTACCCTACGGGAAGTTAATAAGTAGTTTATAAATTATTAACATGTACTAATAATAATTATAAAAAATATATGCCATAAAGTATAGTGCTATAATTTTACTTGTATCAGTCATTTTCCTGGGCATTCCTCGACTTCTAACAGGTACTGTGGGAGCAGAAACTTTTTTAACAGAACTTGCGGCATCTGCTGATTTTTGTAATAGTTCTGCACGTAATGCAGCACTTTTTGGTTTACGTTTCAATGTAAAATGTTTGATAGGCGGTTGTTGTTGACCAACCTGAGAAGAATACAGATAAATATATATATATATATATATATATATATATATTATATATATATATATATATATATATATATATATACATATATTCTGAACTATACCGCTTACATTTTTGAGTAGATTAAATTGTCTTGTTACATATTTTTTTATGAGCATTCTCATAATAAATATTTATCTTTTACTTACCACTGAGATCAAGGCAGGCTTGTTCAAATAATGACATTCCAAAGGAAGAATATTATTAATATCTGTTTGTCGATTTACTAATTTTTTTAATTCATTTACAAGTTCTGCAAATATTGGCCTAGTTTCATCGTACTCCGAAATTTCCGTGTTCAATGAACCAGTGCTTGGAAAAGTTTTCATAGTTTCGGCTAACATGGCAACCCATAATTCAGAATCGAGTGTGGCGATTTCTAATATGTCTTCTAATTCATTTCTCCACTGGAAAAAGAAAGAAAAGGATTAATTAATTAATTAATGAGTACATAATTTCAAAAATTTTAAAATAATTTGTAGAGTAATATTAAAAGTAATTATATACAAATATAAGAAAGGCTAAATTAGTATGTTTAATCAATTAAAATTCAATCAATCAGAATTGAATGAAATTTTGAATTTGAATGTGTTTTAAATTCATTAAAATCAAACAAATAAAACACCTGCAGTTGTAGAAATCCAACATATAGTAAACTATTACTGCTAAATAAATATATAAATTTATAAATGAAAGCTTTGAAACAATTTATATACTAATTGCAAATAGTGATTACCATGTGAATATATGAATAGTAGTTTTATATCATTTACAAATTAAATTAAACAATAAAAAATAACTTAGTAATGCAGAAAAACATAAAATGCTAATTGAAATGGTATGATTGAACGATACACAAAATCTTGAATGAATAAATAAAAATGATTAAATACAATGAACAATGAATCAAAAATTACTTGGTAATCAATAATATACAAAGTATATATGGTAATAAGTGTACAAAAACAAAATTGTTCTTCAAATCATTGATATGCATTATCACAATTACCTTTTTGCTAACACTTTTACTATAGGACATTTAATAATGAATTTAATTAAGACTAAGTTTGAACAAATAAATAATAATGTTTAAATACTGACTAAAACAAAAATTATATTTTAGTTGCACAAATTTCTTAAAGTCGTCAAAATTTATCATTTTAAATTAAAATATTTTCATTGATGCATTCATGTTAGTACCTATTTTCCAACACTTTTGTACTGTATGAAAGTTATAATTTAAAGAGTTTTAGACTAAAATCTTGAATAAATAAATACTGCTTCAATATGATATACAACTATTTTGGTATCATTAAGTTGTAGATTATTTCATTATCACTAATATCTTCAAAGCACTTTTATCACATTTTCATCACAAATATTTTATATTCATATAAATATTTATTTATCTATTGTTGTTATTATTCTTTTTTATATATTTATATTAGTATAGAGGCAAATTATTTAAGTAAATTAAAATGAAACATTTTATACAAGACATTTAGCAAAAATGATTTTATAAGAGAAAGAAATATGAAAATGTCAATAAATGGAATATATAAAAAAAAAATTAAGAAGCATAACTTTAATTTGAATCATAAAATGGGTTTTCAAGCGCTTAGACAATTTTTTGTAACCCCACTGTTAAGAACAATTTTAACAATAAATTTGTATCAAATTGTATACGAAATCTTGATGTCATATAACAAACAATAAATCTTACTAATTGAGTGTTTTATTTCTAAAGAATTGATAGTAACTTAAGTTCACAATAGTTTCACTTGTGTTTATTATGATTTGTTTTAGGTTAGAATAACAAATGCAAAAGAACATATTTCTAGAATATCAATTGCACTAAGTATAAAACTACAATAAATTACTACACAACTTATATTATTCTTGATTAATTAACATTAATTAAACAATATCGTCATGTTTATCCACACTTTTTTTAATAGTACATTTGTTGTCAATTGATGCGGATGCACAAACATAAACATTGCATTCAAAACATTTTTTTCATTTGATATAAAACAAACCCAAATTATTTCTATGTCAACTGCCAAAACAGCCCCCTGACAGTATCCGCAAACTTACACCACTGATTGCTTTTCTCTTTTCATTACTTCGCATTAAAACGAGACGACATCACTCAATCTTACCTCATCAACATTTCTGCGCGGGACATGAAAAAAGCTTAGCAATAATTTTAATTTGACTTGTGTCTGTAAATCGGGAAAACAATCTTTGATATTCCTCAATACTTCGGCATTCAATTGGGAACATATCGAGCCCCCAGTCCAAGAATCATTAGAAGTTCCTAATTTATTGTGGAGCCACAAGGACGTATCGCTATCACGAACATTCGCCATTTTGAAACTAAAAAAACATGAAACAAATATCACATGAGTACACAAGAATGACGCTAACTTGGGTGCCAGTGCTGCCAATGGTGCGGGAAAAAAAGGCACTCGATTAACGAAAATAACACTAAAATAGATTAACGAAATGTTCGAGGAATATTAAATGTTTTCAAACATTTATTAGATTATATAAACTGAACTGAAAGTATATTAGAATTTTAGTCAGAATTAAAAATAAAATCTGAATTATTTTCGATATAAAAAAAAATTAAAAAAAAAAAAACTAGTGGGGTGTATGGCATCGTGCAAATTGCTGGAACTTCCCGTACCGTAACGAAATGATCGAGGAATGATAAATGTTTTAAAATAGATTATTATAAATATTGTAACATTGTCTAATATTTATAAGAATTATATAAACTAAATTGGAAAATTGAAATTATTTGTTTAAAGTATATTAGAACAGAATTAAAATAAAAATCTGAATTATTTTCGACATACAAAAAAATTTTTTTTTGAAAAAAACATTTAAAAAAAAAATTTTGAAGCAAAAAATTTCCTTTCCAAAATCAATTATTTTGTTAAATCAAGCAGAAAGTTTTTGTGATCATTCAAATCGGACGCTTAGTTCTCACAAAAACTGCCATTTTTTGTACATTTAGCTCTGTATCTCCGAAACCGCTGAACCTGCCTTTGCAAAAATCTAATCACCCCTTCTCCCCGCCATTACGAAATGTTTTTGGGATCATTCAAATCGAATGCTCCGATCTCTCAAAAACTCAATTTCTATTTTCTGCACTCTTTGCTCCGTATCTCCTAATCGGCTGGACCTGCTCTTGCTAAAAACTGATCAGCACATCTCCCTATCAATAGGAATCGAATGTTTTTTGAACCATTCAAATCGGTTGATCGCTGCACCCAAAAATGTGGACGAAAAATTGTATCCATACATACATACACACTCACACACACACATCCTTTTTTCTGAGGTATGCCAAATTGTCCAGAAACCTTCAAAACGTCGAGAAATTTAAACATTTTCAATTTCGATTTTCGGCCCATTACAATAACTTACCCTACGGAAAGTTAATTGAAAAAAAAATTGAAACAATTTTTTTTTTTTAATCAATTATTTTGTTAAAACAAGCAGAAAGTTCTTGGAATCATTCAAATCGGACGATAAGTTTTCTCAAAAACTGCAATTTTTTGCATATTTATCTCTGTACTTTGAAATGGCTGGGCCTGCCTTTGCCAAAAGCTAATAACCACTTCTCCCAATCATTACTAATTGAATGTTTTTTAGATCATTCAAATCGGATGCTATCCGTTCTCTCAAAAACTCGATTTCTATTTTCTGCACTCTTTGCTCCTTATCTCCGTATCTGCTGGACCTGCCTTTGCCAAAAACTGATCAGCAAATCTCCATATCAATAGGAATCGAATGTTTTTTGAACCATTCAAATCGGTTGAGTCGTGCGCCCAAAACACACACACACATCCATTTTTTCTGAGGCATGCCAAAATTTTGTCTAATAAAAAAGCGGCAGAAAGCTTAATCCAACACTGCATACTCGTTTAGAGTAACATAAAATATGCGATAATAAAAGTCAATTGATTATCCTGAGAACGTCGAGAAATGCAAAAATTTTTAATTTCGATTTTTGAACGATTACAATAACTTACCCTAAGGGAAGTTAAAAATGTACAAATTTTATACATTTGAGTAAAGAATTGCTCCTTCGGGAAGTTTATGTCTACTTGATACATTCTAATAATGAAGTAATCAAATATGAATGGATCAACAGTTGAGTTACCATCTTCAAAATTACGACGTAATAATTTTGGATTTTTTTGCGATTACTATAACTTGCCCTGCGGAAAGTTAAAACATATATTTAAATAGTTTAAAATTAATTGTTTAATCAAAAAAATTAAATTTTGTCTAATAAAAAAGCGGCAGAAAGCTTAATCCAACACTGCATACTCGTTTAGAGTAATATAAAATATGCGATAATAAAAGTCAATTGATTATCCTGAGGTTGTGTAGTCCAGTATATAGTTAACTTGATATTTTTCTTAAGATACACTTGGCTCACTGAGTTTCTGGATAACAATAATCTTATGTCATCTTAGTAACATAAGATTAGGTCTTGTTGATTCATTATTGAATTTTTAAAAAAATATTACATTGCCATGTTAAGTTAAAGCAGTTAATGGTAGGTTTATTTAAAAATTAGTATGGTTTTCTACAAAAATACTCAACATCCCATTCAATATATATACTTTGGTACATGATGTTGTTATGACACTTTTAGATTTTTTTTTTTCTTGAAATTTTTGGGCATCATAAAAACATGAACAAACACATTGATTTTATATTAGCACCCAATTTAAGCAAAACCTGTTTTACCCTGAGACTTGTTAATGAAAATACTATAGTTACTAAGGTGACTACTATAATAATACTATAGTAGAGTTTACTCTTATTTTTATTTGCACCTCGAATACGGATTTCAATTTCGGAGTTCTTCTTCAGCGTAAAAAAAGAATACTTTTTTCTCTTATTGTTAGTTCGACTTATTTTTCGACAATTTAGTATCCTTACCGTTTCTAGTGTTTTTTACTAATTATCTCGTCGTTCTTAAAAAAATATTCTAAACTTTTTAATATATCTTCAATGTTCATTTCTTACTACAAAACAAGAAACTTAGCAAAAAAGCACCTGCCATTGAACTTGCAACTTCATTCAACTCAATTGAAGGCTTTGAAATAAAACTTCTTAACATATCACAATTGCACGTAAATATTAGTGATAAATTTTTTAAATCAATGTTTTGCTATTTGACCATCAATTTTGACTTTAGATTCGTGTTCAGCCGCCCACCAACATAGACAACTTTTTTTTTTATTTTGTGGACCTGTGTTATTAACGCTATATCCATATCCACACAAATAGATATTTCGTAAGCAATAAAAGAATGTTTAATATGAATATTTATTAATATTTATAAAACAGTTTGTTCCAAGTAAAAAGGCGACATTCGATAATGTCAATTTGATCAAACAATCATACAAACTTTGATACCACACCGTTTGTTCAAAATACTACACATTCTTACTATTCACAAATTGCAGTTTCTTCAGCGCCTTCTGAATTTCCGAAATCTGAAATAATTAACAAATGCTATTTTCAGTAATTACATTAATGTAACTTTTGTTTAATGATAATATTAATCAATATTACGAATTAGAAAGGCATAAGTTTGTGTTGGTTGCGTAACAATGCGGGGTTACAATATGATATTACAATAAGATATATATGGGCCGATTCTGCCGTAAAATGTTACAACAAAGCTATCCTTCGTTTCAGTTTTTATATAGCATGCTGGAAAATAGCAGAAAGCCATATCCATTCAATATCAAAGATGCAGTTATGATAACATCGATTTTCGGCATTTATGCGTTTTGTAAGGTTTGGATTTTTAATAAAAACGTTTTATCTAATACGCCTGACTGCATAATACACATAACAGGCTTGCCTTGCAATTTATACATAACAAAGCCTTATTATAACATCTATTTTACATAATTTTTTACAGCAAATCATTTTTTACAGCAAAATCGGCCCCATAATCTACATATAAAAATCCTTTACATACAAATTTAATTTATTTAGTAATATATCCCACATTAAGTGACTTAAGTGTGTATACAATACGTATACAGTGCGCTAATGGTATGAAGTAAGTTTTAATTTATTACTAACCTTTATTAAATCGCAAGCTAAATTTTGTAGTATTTAGGACTTGTGACTATTTTAAATTATCATCAATTTTTTTGTTATCGTAAAAACCATACCAACGAACAATAAAATGAAATAAATTTGCAAATGATATATCAAAATGAATCATATCTTCAATTCCTCTCACCTTAGCCATCTCCTCTGCAAGCTTTTTCTTCTTCTCCGACGGATCTCTACCCGCACCCAATTCTGCATCCTTCAGATTAATCCTGTCCAGAGACTTGATCAGTCCCGATATCTCCGCATTGACATCGATTTTGGGCTTGAACATCCTACGCAGCTTTTTCTGCTTTCGGTTCGGATAGTTCTTGAACATATTCAATTCACCTCGACAGATCATCTTTGAAAACTCTTTGTAGGTTCCGAAGGGCTTTTCGGTTTGCACGTTCTGGTATTTCGAGTAGCTCAAGTGGCTCCGGTAGCGGTACTCCTGCTTGAACTTTTGTCGGTTTATGATATTTCTAAAATATAGATTCATGAGTAAGAATGCAAGATGAGTTTCATCATCATACTACTAGCGATATATATAGCTTCGACTTTATAAGTAAAAACATATTGTTCCAAATTTGAATGAGTTTTTATAATTAAATCACATTTAAATTTACTCAAAATAGTATACAAATTTGCCAAAGATGTTAACTATTTCTGGTTATAGTTTATATATTATACATTATTAATACATTTTTATATTTAATCCACTTGTTGTAGGACCACCATATGTCGACATAATATTTTTGGATGTTTTCTTTGGCACTGACCTTTATCAATGTTTCATGAAAGTGGGTAAAAACATGTTTTAACAATTAATTACAAAAAAGGCCCAGTCGATCTTTACCAAAAACTTATCAGCACGATCTCCGGCTGATAGTTTTTAAAAGATTTTCAATTCCCCAAAATCGGTTTAGTATTTTTTTGTGAAAAGGTGCACCTTTTCTAAAATAGTAAAAAGACGGCTCGGCAGTTCGTTTCGTAAAACTATTCAACGCGAGCACTAATCGAGTTTTATCGGAAGGTTTTCACATTTTCAAAATCGGTTCACCCGTTTTTGGAACGTATACGCACACATATGATATAGAATTGTGATGCCAAAGAATTCAAAATGATTTGAAACACCGAGAAAATAAAATTATAAAATCGGATTTTTTGACAAAGGCATAAACTTTTTTTTTCGAAAAATTTGTTAATTAGAGAAAAGCAGTAATCCGAAATTGAGATGCGATTTTAAGAAAAACAAATAATTAAAATTAATAAAATATTTGAATTCAGAAAAAATAAACTGAAATCATTGATGATGGATGTCAACATTACCTTTTCAATTCAAGAAGACCATCAATAAACCTATGCTTGTCTTTATACTTCGCTTCCCTTAAACTGTCCAGCAATCTCTTCAGCAGCATATTCAACCTTCCAAACCTTCCACTTGCATTCACTCTCCCGACAAAGGGAGTTTTCTTTAATGGCAAATTCAACCTGCTGTTTTCCACTACTCCTTTGTGAACATCAGAATCATTTCTTTTCGAATTTAGACTCTTCTTAATTTCTTTGTAAGGATTGACGTACTTTTTGACTTCCAAAGGAGGACAGACATCAAAACTGACCTCTTTCAGACGTTTTAGATACTCAGACTTGTTGCCACTGTCAAATGGTGGACAAAGTCTTAAATTGGACAACTCGTTGGTCAGGAGATCAGCAGTGCTCGGCTTAGATTTAGGCATAGGCTTATTTAACTCCTGGTCAATCATTTGCATCATTTCCAGTTTTAACAAATACTTAGAATATTCAGGATCTATCATTTTGTATTCGTTTTGGAGAAAGTCCATCACCTCTTTGGTCCCTTTACTGACAACATGCAACGGTGGGTATTCAATATCGTTCGGAAGGATTTGTAAGTTTTTGATGGAAACAACAGTGCCCAGTTCTTGAGGAAGTCTTTTGATATTGTTGTTCTGCATAAGAAATGTCTCTAATGACTGATGAAATTTTATGGATGTTGGAATTTCAGTTATTTTATTGTTTCTGATGTCCAGCCAAATCAAGTACGGAAGGCAGGTAAAGATATCATTTGGTAGAATTTCGATATCATTGTCGTCCAAGTACAGGCACTGAAAGAATAAAAAATTTGATGTATCTTGATGAAGATTATCGTTTCTCAGTTTTTGCGATGATCGGCCGAGCCGTTTTTTTGTAATTTGGAAAAAACTGTTAAACTTTTCGTCCACTTTTAAGCAAACACTGTTCGAAAGATATAAGTTTCTTCTAATTGACTGTTGAAAAAAAAATCAACGCTTTTTATGAAACTGTTTTGGGTAATAGATATCATGGTTTTATAGAACATACCAAAATATTACGGGCCTAGGACAAGTCGTTTAGTTTTAAAAATTTATTAAAGTTTGAAAAAATGACTAAATATTTTTGGCGTTTGTTAAAATTTGACATTTTCTCAAAAACTGCTGAATCGATTTCAAAAATTTAAAAACCATTCGACGAAACTTGATAAGCACTCGCGTTGGTTAATTTTTTGATACGATCAGCTGAGCCGTTTCTCTGTAGGAATTGGTACAAAAGTGAAAAATGTTTCGTCCACGTTTTAGACAAAAATTCTGAATCGATTTTGAATATTCAAAAACTGTTCGAAATATATTATTTGGGAATCGCGCTGATTAGTTTTGAACAAAGGTTGGCCGAGACGTTTCATTGTTGAATGTTGAACTTTTCTTGAAAAACTTTTTATGTTGATAGATATCATGGTCACATTATTATAATCGTCCAAAAATCGAAAATGTAAATTTTTACATATGTTTACGTTTTAGAGATTTTTTAACATTTTGGCATAGCTCAGAAAAAATTGATGTGTGGTTATGTGTGGAGGCAATTTTCGTTGACGATTTCGGGCGTATGGATGAACCGATTTGGAAAATTCAAAAAGCAATTGATTTCTATAACGTTTTTTATTTTAATTTTTTTTAATAACCAAAAAAAATGTTTTTTTTAATATAGAAAATATTTCGGATTTTAACTCTAACTCTAGCTAAAGTTTTAAACATAACTTATATACTTTAAAAAAATAATTTTAGTATATATAATTCATATAAATATTAGACAATGTCCTTTATTAACTTCCCGTAGGGTAAGTTATAGAAATCGCAAAAAAATCGAAAATGAAAATTTTTATATATCTTTACGTTTCAAAAGTTTCTGAACATTTTGGCATACATTAGAAAAAAATGATGTATGTGTGTGTGTACTTGTGTATGTGTGTATTTGTGTATATGTGTGTGTGTGTGTGTGCGTATACGAATTTTCGTCGACAATTTCGGGAACACGGTTCAGCCGATTTCAATTATTCAAAAAACATTCGATTGCTATTGATAAGTAGACGTACTGATTAGTTTTTGGCGTAAGCAGGTCTAGCCGTCCTGAAGATACGGGGCAAAAAGTGCCAAAAACGGTAACTCAGGTTTTAAGAGAACGGAGCGTCTGATATTAATATTTCAAAAAACATTTCACTTGTATTGACAAGATAAAAAACTGATTAAATTTTCATGAAGGCAGGTGTAGCGGTTTCAGAGATCTAGTAAAAAAAGTAAAAAAAATGCCCTTTGGCGGTCAAAAATGATTATTAGCCATATGCACATCAAATTATCAGATACTTTATAGAGATTTTAACAAGTATGAATTTGTTTTACATTCTTATGGGTTCCGTACGAATGTTTATCCGTTAGATGTCGATGCGGACCTTACGCGCTTCGATATTTCGTCTCTATGCAGTTAAAGCAGTACGATTGTTTAAAAAAAATTCAGAATTTCCAAAATATTTCAAAATAAAGAAAACATTTTTTTCGAAGTCTTTTTTTTTCTAAAAAAGTAAATTTTTGTCAAATATGTACAGTTTCTAAAAATTCTAACTTTTTCAAAGAAAATTTTTTTCAAAAATGTTTATCTTTTTAAAAAAAATTTTTTTTGGTACGGGAAGTTCCAGCAATTTTCCTTAAGGCACGATGCCATGCGCCCCACTAGTTTTAAATCCGATTGATTAAATTTGTTTATTTACTTTTCATGTTTGTATGTAATATATAAACGTCGTCGTCCAATTTATAAGCTCTTATATTTTGCCTATCAAATAAGAATAATGAAAGTTGTACCTTTTAAAACCAGCCCGCCTAAAATTCTTTATTAAATTTAAATTAGTGCACTAGTACACCATGGTGTATAGCATTGTGCCTTAAGGCAAATTGCTGGAACTTTCCGTACCGTAATAAAATATTCAAACAATATTAAATGTTTTCAAATGGATTATTATATGCTGTATGTAGTGTTAGAAGTATCGAGGCAAAAGATCGATATTGAGTACTTTGAAAAGTATCTAATCAAAATATCGATGCCAAAAAAATATCGTGGCGAAAGTATCGATAGTACTCAATATCGAATTTTGAGTACTTTTCATAAAAATCAAACATAAGTGCAAGAAAGATCTAAATCTCATTAAATATCATATCACAATATTAGAATGAATTCTATTGCTCGTATCTGATGTGTTAAATCAGAATCATTTTCAATATTGTAAAATTTTAACAGTAATTTTTCAATACTAATTTCAAATTCTATAATTTTTCAAAAAAAAAGACAAGTTATAATAATTGAGTATTTTTGATTAAAACAATATAATAGTCTGATACTAAATTCAAAAACCATTACTTTTTAAGTATTTTTAAGCACAATAATATTTTTAATATTTTTAAGTAAAATCATATTTTATAATTGTTGAATATTTTTATATGAATAATTTTAGCGAGCATGCAACTTTCAAAAACCGTTACATAAAATTGCAATATGACTCTTTGGAAAGCAATAAACATTCAGTTTAATGACGGTCAAGATATATTATCTTCGACACTTGTAGAGAAACATCCCTTCGGAGCGATGGTATTTAAAGTTTAAATGGTTCCGAGAAACTCAATCCCATATGTTTGCATGTTGAAATTCAAAAATTTCAAAACATGAGTATTTTGCGTTAAAAAAGAGTCGAAACATAATTATTTCAAATAAAAATACTCATTCATTTTAGTATATTATATTGAAATATATGAATATTATTATTTGAAATAATCATACTTCGATTGTTGAATATGTTTTTATAAAACATTTTGGTATTTTAAAAAGTCGTTTCATTTTACATAAGAGAAATAAACATCTTTATTTATTAGTGTGGTCATATTCATTTTGGGTTTTTGAGCAATAAATTCTGACACTAATGACACCCTTCGGGATCATTTTTTGACATTTCTTTGAACAGTTATGACCACCTATAGAGACTATTGCATTGTATTTCGCAAAATGAGTGGTTTTCATAGTTGGTCGATGAGTTGTGTTCATAGATTACGCTGTCGATTCTTTTTGAGTACTATCGACGAAAAAGATCGATATTGGCAAATAGATCGAGCTAAAAAATCGATACCAAAAGTACTCACTATCGACCGCAAAGTATCGATATTTACTCAGTACTCGATATTTTGTTCTAACACTAGCTGTATGCAGTATTGCACACAGTATACAGAAGCTCTAATAAGAAATAATATATTGCACCACATTAGTAATAAAATTTATGTAAAATTTATCTAATTATCTGCCAACTTTATAAGATTATATAGGTAAATTAGATATATTCAAATATGAAAAAAAACATAAAATATAAAAACCAAAGATTTAAAATATTCGCTATTCTGTTTTCCATTATGACGTTTATTTAATATAAACATACTCACAGCCAAACGACGATTGTCAAGGTAACTCTCCGGAAAACATGTCAGCCCATTTTTACACAAATCCAGAATATATCCATCGCTTCTTGGTTCTCTCGTAGCTTTAGTTTTAGATTCATCTTTATCAATATTTTCGGATGTTACCGAATCGATTTTATTAATATTTGACATGTTTAGAGTCAATAAACGCAATTTTAAATTTGATTACAAATTCCTTTGTAACCCGCTATTTGTTTATGTCGATCAGTCTTTTGTTTTGGTGATTACTCGAATCCCATGTTGCCATAGTTGTTTCGATATATTTCCTGTTGAAAGTTGAATAAGTTAAAAAATAAATCAATTGTTTTAAATGAATTTAAATAAAATAGTTATATATATAAACATATTAATGATGAAATGTTGTTAAAAGACATTGAAACTAGTGGTGTATAGCATTGTGCTTTAAGGAAAATATTGTAACACTCTCTAATATTTATAATAATTATATAAACTGAATTGCAAAGTTGAAATTATTTGTTTAAAATATATTACAAGAAAATTAAAATTAAAATCTGAATTATTTTCGATATACAAAAAAAAATTTTCTTGAAAAAAAAATTTGAACATTTTTTTTCCAAAAGCAATCATTTTGTTGAAACAAGCAGAAAGTTTTTTGAATAACTTAAATCGGACGCTTAGTTCTCTCAAAAACTGACATTTTTTGCACATTTAGCTCTATATCTTCGAAATGGCTGGACCTGCTTTTGCAAAAAACTAATCACCTCTTCTTCCAATCATTACAAATTGAATGTTTTTTAAATCATTCAAATCGGATGCTCAGTTTCCTTTCAAAAACTCGATTTGTATTTTCTGCATTCTTTGTTCCGTATCTCCGTTACGGCTAGACCTGCCTTTGCCAAAAACTAATCAGCCCATCTCCCTATCAATAGGTGTCGAATGTTTTTTGAACCATTCAAATCGGTTGATCTATGCGCCTGAAAACGTGACGAAAAAATGCAGACATACAAAACACACACACACACCCACATACACATACATCCATTTTTTCTGAGGTATGCCAAAATGTTCAGAAACCTTCAAAACGTCGAAAAATGCAAAAATTTTCATTTTCGGTTTTTGGCCCATTACTATAACTACCCTATGGAAAGTTAAAAAAATTAGTGGGCATGACATTGCGCCTTATAGCAAAATTTACGAACTTCCCGTACCGTAATTTCAAATTTTAAAAAAGACTAAAAAGAAATATTAGATTTTTTAGAATGCTGTTTTTAACTTCCCGTAGGGAATGTTATTGTAATGGGCCGAAAATCGGAATTGAAAATTTTTACATTTCTCGACGTTTTGAAGGTTTCTGAACGTTTTGGCATACCTCAGAAAAAATGAATGTGTGTGCGTGTGTGTGTGTGTGTGTGTATGTATGTATGAATACAAATTTTCGCCCATGTTTTCGGGCGTACGGATCAACCGATTTGAATGGTTCAAAAAACATTCGATTCCTATTGATAGGGAAAAGAGCTGATTAGTTTTTGGCAAAGGCAGGTCCAGACGTTTCGGAGATACGGAGCAAAGAGTGCAGAAAATAGAAATCAAATTTTTGAGAGAACGGAGTATCCGAATTGAATGATCTAAAAAACATTCAATTAATAATGATTGGGAAAAGTGTTTGTTAGTTTTTGGCAAAGGCAGGCCCAGGCATTTTGAAGATACGGAGCTAAATATGTAAAAAATGGCAATTTTTGAGAGAACTAAGCGTCCGATTCAAATGATTCAAAGAACTTTCTGCTTGTTTTAACAAAATAATTGATTTTTCAAAAAAAAATTTTGTTTCATTTTTTTTTTTTTTTTTTTGTATATCGAAAATATTTTAGATTTTATTTTCAATTCTGACTATAGTTCCAATATACCTTACAAATAATTTCAACTCTGCAATTCAGTTTATATAATTCTTATAAATATTAGACAATGTTACAATATTTATAATAATCTATTTGAAAACATTCAGTATTCCACGAACATTTCGTTACGGTACGGGAAGTTCCAGCAATTTGCCTTAAGGCACGATGCCATAATTGCCTCAAGACAGAATTCCACTTACAGCTAGTTTTTTTTTTAATTTTGAAGGCACTCGAAAAATTTGAATATTGAAATAATTATTTTGTGAAAAATTTGAAAACGTTCGAAAATATTGTTAATTTGTGAAAACGGAATTTTTTATAACTATTTTTTTTTAAATGCATTTCTTAAAAGTTTTTGAAAATATCTGGGTTTCGAACGCCAAATAGCAGTTTTTAAAACATTTTTTTAGTTCTACGAAACTGCTAGACCTGCCATTGCAAAAAGTTAATCAATTCTTTATTAAATTAATTTTCGGCAATTTTCGCTCCACATCTCCGCAACGGCTGAACCTGCCTTTGCCAAGAACTAATCAACACGTTTCCTCATACATGCGAATCGAATGTTTTTTGAATCATTTAAATCGATTGATCCGTGCTCCTGAAAACGTTGACGGAAAATTGTATCCACAACCACGCGCACACACATACATACATCAATTTTTTTAATGTATTCCAGGGTGCTTAGAAACTTTTGAAATGTAAAGCTATGCAAAAAAAATTCTTTTCAATTTTTGGACGATTACTATAAATCACCCTGCGGAAAGTTAATAAAGTTTTCTTTTCAAATGTATTATTAAAATTAAAATTCTAGTATTTGAAGAAGAAGTAGTTAAAAATTTGAACAATAATTGCATTTTGCTTTATCGTCTTTACGGAAAAATGAAGATATTACTGGTTTTACATTTCACTGCATTTTTCTGGTAATGAATTCATTTAATAAATTTTATAAATGTGGATTTTGCTTTATAAAGAATTGAAAATCGGAAAACTTGATTCAATTTTATCATTATTAATGAAGAAAATAAATCGAAATTCCTAATTATCTTCTATATATATATAAAAATAAGTCGGGTTTTCCTTCCTGATGTAATAACTCCAGAACGCACGAATCGATTTCGAAAATTTTGCATTCGTTGGAAAGGTCTCGGGCTCCGCAAGGTTTATAGCTAAGAAAATTAGTGGTGCATGGCATCGTGCCTTAACGCATATTGCTCGAACTTCACGCACCGCAATTAAAAATTCAAGTAATAAAAATAATCAATAATTGTTTTAAATAATTGCAAATAGATTATCTTCTATATATGTAAAAATAAGTCGGGTTTTCCTTCCTGACGAAATAACTCCAGAACGCACGAACCGATTTCGACAATTTTGCATTCGCTGGAAAGGTCTCGGGCTCCGCAAGGTTTATAGCTAAGAAAATTAGTGGTGCATGGCAACGTGCCCTAATGCAAATTGCTCGAACTTCACGCACCGTAATTAAAAATTCGAGTTTTAAAAATAATCAATAATTGCAATTGTTTTAAATAATTGCAAATAGATTATTTTCTATATATATATACAAATAAGTCGGGTTTTCTTTTCTGATCAAATTTTTCCTTTTCAAATATAAAACAAACAAAAAATTTCTTCGTCTTTCTCACGAAACCATCTGGTGGCGAAACGGAGTTCGTCGGGTTTGCTAGTTTTTATATGAAAATAATGTTGTAAACTTATGTATGTAACAAAAACAAAAGTTTTGTAAAAAAATATTTTTCACCAAATAATGATACCTCAAATTTCCCTTCTATTTTCAAAGTTCAATTGTATATCGGGTTGCTCGATTAGCATATCATTACTTTCACATATTATTATAATTAATTATGTAAAACTAATAATATAATACAAAATATATCTTTGCTGTTTGCAGACCATTGAAAAAATCACTGTTATTTCGTGCCATGAACAAACTAGATTAAATGCCTTTGCATAATATTCGCCATTTTCTGATTACATTCATTCGCGGACGAGGTTTATAGTTTTTATGAAATTGAACCATTACTATTAAATAAATGTATTCATTTGAGCTGTTCACAATTGAACTCAATTTCGTTGTTGATCTGAATTTTTTTAATCATATTTTTGTATTTTATAGTAAATACAAAATGGTATTTTTGGGTAATTTTATACCTAGAAAAAAATAAAATTGTCTATGAAGCAAAAAACAACCACTTCTTTTGACCTAAATCTTTCCTTCAATTTGTGAAAAATCACAAGCAAATGCATAGAGTGAGCAAATGTCATCAGCTCTTGTTTTATAGAATATAATCGATCAAATAAAATAATCGATTCATTGATTATTGTTAACGGATCTTCGACTAGTTTAATGATGCGGATATGACAAATTGACAAATTGTCTGATACAATTCCGTTCGCTTAACTTTGAAGGAAGAGTTATATCCTCGGATATAAACTCACTCCGGAGTTACCTTTAGTATGCAAGTATGCATTTATGTTAGGTAATTCTTAACATTCCGTAGGGTAAGTTATTTTAATCGTCTAAAAATCTAAATTGATACATTTAAAACAAAAATACATTTCTTCACGTTTTGAAGTTTTCTGAACAGTTTACATACCTCAGAAAAAATGGGTAGTGTGTGTGTATGTATATGTATGAATACAATTTTTCGTCCACCTTTTCAGGTGCACGGATCAACCGATTTGAATGGTTCAAATAACATTCGATCCCTATTGATAGGGAGATATGCTTATTAGTTTTTGGAAAAGGCAGGTCCAACCGTTTTGGAGCAAAAAATAGAAATCGAGTTTTTGAGAGATCGAAGCATCGGACTTGAATGATCCAAAAAATATTCAATTCGTAATGACGTGGAGAAGTGGTGATTACTTTTCGGCAAAAGCAGGTCCAGCGGTTTCAAAGATGCAGAGCAAAAGGTGCAAATAATGGCAGTTTTTGAAAGAACAAAGCGTCCGATTTGAAAGATTCAAAAAACTTCCTGCTTGTTTCAACTAAATAATTGCTTTTGGAAAAAAAAAATGGTTACAATTTTTTAATTTTTTATTGTTACAGTATTGATTTATAATAATTTATTTGAAAAATTTAATATTCCTTGAACATTTCGTTACGGTACGGAAAGTTCCAGCAATTTGCCTTAAGGCACGATGCCATACACTTGTTTGTCTACATTTTCTCAAAATTTTTTAAGTGACATTTTGCCTTCCTCAAAAAGTTTTTAATTGTGGCTCTATAAATTAATGTTGATATTCTTCTAAAAACCT